ATCCCAGCGTGCTCCCCGAGTGAGGGGGGCGGAAGGGGTGCGGGGGCGGGCGGGATGGGGGTGGGAGCGCGGCCCCGCTTCGGGGGCTCGCGGCTAGGGGGAGCAGGAGATTACGGAGGGGGTGCAGGATGCTGATGCTGAACGGGCCCAGCTGGGAAGAAAGAAGAAAGGGAGGGGAGGGGAGATCGAGGACGGCCGGCCTAGGCAGGCCGAGAATGCAATTTCCCCCGTGGTGGGAGCTGGGAGACCCTTGTGCTTGGACAGGACAGGGTCGGGGGACACGCAGGATGAGCCCCTGGACCACTGGCACCTTCTTGCTGACAGGTTAGTGACCCGCGCGCGACAGGAGGTACCCAGGCCAACTGGCCTCCGCCCTCCCATCCCCCCACCGAGGTTTTGGGTACTCGTGGTCGTTTTCTGGGCGTCAGCCCCTCTTGTTGCCTGGGTCCCCAACTGCACCCCTCTTTCAGGACGCCCCCCACCCCACTTCGGGGCCTTGGGCGTCGCTTCCCAGGCTTGACCCTTGGCCTTTTCTTTTTCTTGGCACCCCCACGGGCCCCTCCCTGCCCAGAACGCGCCGAAATTTTATCTCCAATTTCCATTCCCAACCCTTTCCCCCCCCATCTCCAACCCTGGTGGTGGACCTCTCTGATCCCTGCAACAAAGGGCTGGGGGTCGTTGCCCATTTTTATGGGGGGCTCGTTACCCCACAAATGGGGTTCTGCGGCCCAGAGGCGAGCCATAGGAAAGGGGTATCAAGCCGCTTTCTTCTCCACAAAAACACATTTTTTTCCTTTTCTTGAATCTGATCGGGAGAGAACAGAAAAAAATGTGCATTTGAAACATCTGATTACCCCTCTTCCTGAGCGCATTTCTCGGCGGCGGCAGATCTCTTGTTTTTTCTTCGTCTTTCCTGAGTAGGGACGCAGAATCATGAAATACTGGATCTAAGCCGGCATTCAGGTCAGGGTTCGCCCCGGCTGGGGGCTAGAGACGCTGAAAACAGCACTATTTGCCCCACCAAGCGCACTATTTCAAGAAAGCAGGAACAATTAAAAACAGCTGCGGGTGCCTCCAGTGTGCTTGGCGGGCTTCAGAGGCTCGCAGCCACGGCCCTTTTGTGGCGATTACGAGGTTTTCGCAGAGATTTATTCTCCCCGCAACGTTACATTTTTGTAAATCTCGTCGGGAGAATGACTGCCTTTAGTCACAGCAGCCTCATGTTAATCCTTGCAAGTGCGATGCCGAGATTCATCTCCACAGATAAACATATATGTTTTACGTTAGGGGAAATCGCAGTGAGTTACAAGACTCATTCCATGATGAGGAAGGATGCTTTTTCAAAAAAAGCCTTAGCGCGGGGTTTCCATGTAAGCGCCCCAAAGTGTTTGGCGCCAAGAAAACGGACAATCTGTTGATAATCCGAGCAAAATAAGTTTAAGTTAAAATGGGAAAACAAATTGTCTACAGCTGAATAAGTTTCCTTAAACAGATGAAACAGATTTGTATTTGGAGGCTAAAATTCAGCGTAGTTTAGTAACATTGCTACAGATTGTTTTATACGGAGAGGATAAATAAGAATTTGACCCATTATAGATAGCCGGGTGGCAGGCTCCTATTTAAAGTGAGGCTGCTTAGAAATAAACAAAATTGTAGCATATTTGCTGAGAGTTGACTTTTTTGATCAGAAATAAAATATTGACCATTAGATAGATGAATGAATGAAGTGCAGATTTCCAACAATGAAAGATATTTATCTAGGAACTTGGGGGGAACACTGCCTTTTAATCTTTAGGATATGCACCCTTTTCTGCAAGATAGAATAATATCAGGACTTCTTATGTTTGCTAGAGTACTGTTGTGGTGACCACGGAACTGTCAAATTCTTAGCTTTATTTTAATCCAGAAAATTTACTTCATCTAATTATTAACTAATAGATATTCTTTTCCAAAATGTCAGATTAAAAATCAGTATAGATAGCAGGGGAAATTCAAGTTTATAAATTATCCCAAGATTTTTAAAGTTTGAACAAGTTTGAATCAATTGATTTTTTTTATTTCAAAATATTAACCAGGATTTTTGTTATTGTTAAAAAAGCTTTAGTATTATATTTATCATAATTTCCATTCATTGCACAAAAAAGTAAGTTCTATTCATTGTACAAAGAGTAAGGGAAAAATATTTCAGAAAATTGAAAAAAATAAATGAAGACAATCAAGATCACCTGTAACCTCTTCATTCTAAGATAACCCCGGTAAGCATTATGGAATTTGTTTTTTCAGACTTTATCTAATTAATACATATTTTGGTGAGAGTTGCATATATATAATTTCTAAAATTAAAAATGGGATCAAATGAATTTTCTCCATTATATTCTTTTCAAGGATACTTAACTGTCAAATAACATTACATTTTCAGAGACTTTTTAAAAAAGGAAATGTTAATACTTTTTCTAATTAGAATTTTAAATGGACATTAGTACATAAAGATCTATACCTAGAGAACTGAGAATTTTCACTATTCTAACATATACATACTGACCATTTTGGTGTATTTCCTTATGTTGTTTATTCTTCTACATATGAAATAATTTTTGCTTTGCCTTAGAAATACAATTTTTCAAGAGAAAATATCGGTAGATAACTAGTTTTGATTAACCTTTCTTATCTAAAACAGCAAAATGTTAAAAATAAAAACAAAATACAGGGTTAATAGACAATACTTTAGATAACATTTTTGTGTTACCTAAAACAACAAAACAACATTAAAAACTACCCCCCAAAATTAACAAAGAATTTAATACCCTTTTGACATTTAGAATCATAAGTGAATTTTAGATTTTCTCAGGTATTTGTTCCTAGTGTTGACTATTTTTTATCTATTTTGCACAAGATTACATGTAAAGCAAAATGTAATGCCAGATTACATTTCATTGCTAATGTGCATTATCTGTTTTACCAAATAAGAACTGGGCATTGTATTTGGACATTTTAATCCATCTTAATGAAAATTTTCTCTGAATCTATGAAGCTGTTGATTTACCACCAGCATTTAACTGCTTGTTTAGTGGGGAAATTGTATTTCAAAACCAAGTGGAATATTCACTTGTCAAATAATAACTAGACTTCTATTTGGACATCTTACCTATTTAATGACAATTTGCCATTTATTTGTAAAGCTATTGATTTACTTCATGTATTTAGCTTAATTTCTCTGATGGTGAGAAAATTGTATTTCAAAAACAAAGTGGAATTTTCATTTGTCAAATTATAAGTGGACTTTCTAGTTGGACCTTTTATCTATTTTAAATGACAATTTGCTATGGATCTGTGAACCTGCTGATTTACCATATACATTTGGCTTACCTTTTAGTATGGTGGGGAAATTTATTTCTAAGCAAAGTAAAATTTTCAGTGATCATATATTAACTGGACTTGGCATTTGATCATTTTATCCATTTATTATGAGTTTGCCATAAATTTAAAAGCTGTTGATTTACCTCATATATTTAGCTTTAATCTAGTACGGTTGACAAATTGTATTTCTAAACAAAGTGGAATTTTCACTTACTGTAATGAAAAAATACTGGTAAGAGACAACCTCAAAGAGATGAAGATAATATGTATCCAGTTTCTCTAACAGTGGCTTTCCATGGATGGAAACCATGTTCAAACCAAAATGCCGCAACAGTGAAGAAACCCTGACATGTTAAAATTTCTCAATCAAATATTCAAATTGGGTGGGATTATAATTTGTGCCGTATTTATAGATCACATTTTCTCCAAAACAACTAGTTACCTTGTTCCTTTTTCTTTTTTACTAATTGACCACACTTACTCTATCAGTCCCCTTTTCTTGAAACTCACCCTTACCTCCATTCTAAATACCAGTGCAAATTCTATTGCTGATTCTACTCTTAGTGTTAAAAGGGACTCCCGGTGAATAGATGATATGGGTGTACGTGTCCGTGAGAGATTCTTGGGCTGGGGCTCTGTTTCAGTCAGGGGCTTCACAGAAATAGTAACATGGTGATTTTGTTTTTATTTCCATTCTTTCCAATGAGCAAAGACAAAGAGACAGACATGACAGACACACAGACACACAGACGCAAAAAACATCCAGTCTTTTTCTAAACTTCAGGATCCAGTTTGCTGTTATCTCCCTGGTTTCCAGAAATATTAAACCAAAAGCAGCAATGCAAAATAAAAAATAAAAAAAGAAGAAATTGGTGTTTCTAAGGATCAACAAGTCTTTTCAAAGGACTATTTTTTTTCTGACTGGGGTTTTTAGGTTGGTAGGATCAGATGGAACCTCAATGCTCTTAAAGCTGTTTCACATGAACTGCCTCCAAGCAAAAGGCTCTGGAAGCAAAATTCCCGGGGTCTTCAATTTTTAAAACATTGTAACTATAGCAAAGACAGGATTGAGTAAAAACAATCCCCACAGTCTGCTATTAGAACATTTGCATGGATGCTGCTGGTTTTCTAGTTAGATGCATGTGCATATATATTTTTACGTGACTATTGTTTTAACGTGTAGATATTTTACACTTTGTTTTGAAAGATAAGTGAATTTTGCTTTCAACAAAGCATTTGTCAGGGCTTTAGGATGCTCTTGTGTGTGACATGGTGTGTAGACTACTAGCAGGATTGCTTTGTAAGCGTGACTCCGGCTGAACCAGCACCTGCCAGGTGTGTGGGTTACTGAGCGCGGCTCCGGCAGTGGTCCCCGGTGAAGAATCACACGCCTTTGCCTTAGTTCTTCTCTTCTTCAAAATTTTTATGAATGACTTTGATGAAGATCTAGGGCACTTGCTTTAAAATCCATAGATGACTTGCAAAGGGATCACTGTTAGAATTAGATAACAGAACTTAGAGTTAACATGGTTTAAATAGGTTGCAATGCTTTGCAAAAAGATATTTTATACTAGTAAATGCATCATAATTCACTAAGTGTGAGGAAGGAGGTGACTTAACATGGTGGTGATTTTTTGAGGAAAAAGGTTAATATGAACCAGCAGCATGATGTGGCTGCAAAAAAAAAAAATCACATTTAAATTCTGATAATAGAATAGTGCTCATATGTCACAAAAATTAATAGTACCCTGCTCTCATTAACCACATCTGTAGTATTGTGTCCATTTCTGGCTGTCACATTTAAAGAGAGATGTTGACAAATTAGACAACTTCCAGAGCAATCTGTGGGGATGGTGAGAGGTCTGGCAATCCTGTCATAGGAGCTATCTTCAAAGAGTCTGGAAATGTTTAGCTTGATGACTAAAAGTAGACATAAACTCTTCTGTTTGTTTCAGAAAGCTGAATTA